TAAAGCACCTTATGGCTCTAGAGCTTTCTACCTTCAATATCTTCTCAATCAGTAAATTAAAAAACATTTTTTTTTCTTATATATATATATCAACACTGAATACTTTTATTCTGTACATACGAATTTTCGTTTCTAGTTTACTTTCTTTCATTTTTCAATATATTTCCAATTAGCTATACAGTTTATTATTTTTGTATCTCACAGACTACTGTGAAATTGCTTAAGTTTCTTTAACAATTTCATTATATAATAATTATCAAATCCTTCCATCTCTTTTTAATTATTTAATGTTTGCGTTTCCCCATTCATCGACATCAGAAATATATTTACCTGCCACACTTTACATCCCATTCCATCACTTTAAATAACACACATATTAGGTATTATTTTTTGTTTGTATAGTCACTTCACTTTCATAAATTTCAACTTGACTGAGACAACAAACAAAAAAGCAATGTCTTTTGTAAAAGTGTATGTTGTTGTCAACTAATAAATTTATATTATCTAAGAACTTGAGGATGCTCAGAATGTTCCACAAAAATTGGCAACATAGCTACAAAATTGCATTATTTTATACTTACTCATTTGGGTTTGAATTTATTGTATTAATTGAGGATGCTTGATCTTACTTGTTTGAAGCCAAATACACCAAGCCATAATATGTAACTAAGTTCATATGGACTGATGTATACCTAACAATGTAAATAAATGTATACATGCCAAGTTTAGTTGCCATACATCGTACTCTTCATAACCTACAAAAGAGATTTATGAAGTAATATGGTATTTCCACATCATAGGTTAATATTTTTTGCTTAAATTTAAATTTTCGTTAAAGCATAAATGGAAGATATGGGCTAATCTAAAGTGAACATAGTGTTTAAGATATTTTTTGAAAATTTGCAAAACAGGCAACAAGTTTTGATATATAATGTGGGTTCTATAACACAAAACCTTTGTTGAGCTAAAATTCTATTCTTTTATAAACAGAACCTCCAACTACATTTTTAAAGCAGTTTGTGTATTTAAAATAATACTAATGTTCTTCCAATATAAGATAAAAAAACTTGGAAAGTGGTCTTCCCATCACTCTCAAATATTATCATAAAATTACATGGGAAACATCATTAACCCTTCCTTACACAATAGTTGCTCAATGAGAACTTGTAAAGGAAGTTAAAAATTGGTTCTTAGAGATGTATAGTTTATTTACAAGTTCTGCTACAAAACAACATAATTACAAGTTCAAAAACAAACTTCTCAATGGCACATATTGCAATACACAAAGATGCAAAAACTATTCTACACACAAAATAAATAAACTCCATGGTATAGCTCAAGTACAATTCATCCTTGTCATGCTTGTACTTTAGTCGGACTTTTTTTTAGATCTTGTGTCCTGAACTCATTCACTTGCATGCCATGGTGCTACTGAGATAAAAGTGCTATTTAATAAAGAGGAAAAAGCATATTTCTATTTCAGAATACATAACTAGAAACCTGCATAAAGTCTGATAATTCATCAAAATAACATTTTAGACTTTTTATTTAGTAAAAATAAGGCATTTCACCATTACTGGTGAGTAAAACAGTTGTAATTTACAAACAACCTTTAAGCAATCATGTGTGTAAACTTTACTTTTTTGTGGAAATATTTAAAGTTTAAAATAATGTATAAAATGAAAAAAACTTTTATCAATTTAAATGCAACAAAACAGTTGTGCTTGGGGGAGTATTAACTTTGCAACTATATCATTACTCTAATAACCACACAGTTAACATTTCATTGAGCAAATGAAGAAATGTCACATGCATGTATCCAGAACAAAGATGAAAAAGTTTACAAGTTTTGTGAAATTTTTTAAAATTTAGATATTAAAATTTCTCTATTCATTCATGCACTTTAACTGAGAGTCCTCATGACATGAAGGAAGTTTATAATGTTAATATGACTACACTATTCTCTGTCAAACATCCATTAGTCACACCTGAGTGCTTGTCTGAATAATATCTCAGAAAACACATTTAGTCTACTGAATATGCAACAGATGAGATTGCAGCTAAACCTGCAAGTTATTTGGATTTACAATGGTCTTCCATCTTTTGTTTTCAAAAAAGTGACTTACTACCATTTAGAAACAGTGATGATGAAAATAATTGTTAGTTCATTGTTTTTTTATTGAATGATCAAAATTCTTTCTCTGATTTATAGCATTTTTGACTTTCCAGCCAATCCAATAACTTGAAGGTTGAGTGCCAACAAGGATAGAAATTAAGGGTGGCTCTTAACAACAAATTAACTTCTTCTATGATGTTACTTCTAAAATCTTAAAATTTTATAAGGGTGATTAACACACCTAAGATTGGCTGCAGACAGTGCATGGGTGTTGTGGGTTAAAACATCAAACACCTAATTCCTAAATGAACTCCCTTGACAGCTATCTCATTATACAATTGCCTTTTTTATTTTTATTATGTCTGGTGGATAAAATATCCCCAATGCTTTTGGGTGCTATTACCACAGACATTTTCCTTTAAAAATTATACCTTTTGTACTTATTGACAAATGGTATGATTTTTTATTTTGTTTTATATATGTAGTTATTTTTTCATGAAATTTTAACAGTTTATATAGTTAAAATTTGTGATTAGTAACAGATTTTAGCTTTGAATTTCACACTAGATATCTCAGTTTATATATACTGGAAATAATTATGGAAAACCACAGAAGCTACACAAGTACAAGTCACAAACAATGAAAAATTGAAACTAAATACATATTACACAAAATACAAAAAAAAAGAATAATATATACAAAATGCACCAATTCAGACTACTCTGCTTAAAAGAATTCCAGATAAAAACAAGATTTCTTTATGTGCTGAATTAGTTATCTGTGTTTCTAGTTTTCATACTTCAGTTATATAAAATATTCAGCCAAAAGCAAGATCTGCTTATAAAAAACTAACACTCGTGGTACCATTTATAAGGGAGTTTTTACATCAAAATTACAGTCTTTCTTATTTAAAACTGGAATTAAAATTAATAGAATTATGTAAATTAATACTTTTACAATAAAATCAATTTATTTAAATCCACTGTTTTATGTTTCTCTACTTAACTTTTAACTTTCATTTTATATTTATACAGGTATCATGCACTATTAAAATAGATAGGTGACCTTATAACCAGTAGCATTGGCATCAGAGCACTGCTTTATACACCATGGAGGTTGGGGATGGGCTTGAGATTATGCATAGTCTTCCTTGCATAAAAGGAACTCTGCTTATAAACAAGTTTTTTTTACCAGCAAATAAAACTTGCTTATAAGCAGAGTCAATTGTATTTTGTACTAGTTTTAAACACAGTAGTACACCTTGTTTTATGTCCCCATTATTCAGACAAGTTGTTAGATGCCATTTAACCTTCAAAATCCCAAATAAGCCCATATGGTCTTAATAATATTCATATCAGGACTGTTTTGTGTAGGTCAGCCATGGTTGCAAGTGTTCTATCAGCCTCTTTTTTCTCCCAGGTATTGTTTCACCATATTTGCTGCATGCTTAAGATCACTTTCCTCTCTGCCATTGAACAAATTACTGTTGATTGTTGCCAAACAAGTTGAATTTCAAATCATCTGTAAAGAGCATTTTCCTCTGGCTTTGTTACTCCTATGAAGTCTTACGCTTATTTTGTGGTATATCCAGGTTAAATTGAATTAACTTGAGATATATGCAGTGAATTATGCATTCTGTGATGCATATGAAGTCTAACTCTATGTTTAAAAATTATGTGATATGACCACATATACTCTCAATGTTATGTATGGAAATGCTACCTGGTCTATATAATATAAAATATCACTTGAATCATTACATACTAGAATAATATATGAATAGTGTCTCTTAGGTCAACTCAGTTTTAATATAGACATTGTTACTTGAATTACTACATACTGCAGTAACTTACAGATAAAGTCTCTAGTGCAAGGTTTCCATTTTTAAAATATTGTTTTTACTGACATACAAGCAAACAGCAGCCATTTTTTACTGCACTATATTTCTTGACTGACATCATTAAAAAATTAAGAAACAATAAAATACATTATAAAAACAGGATATTTTTATGTACTAAATTTTTTTAGGCTTTATCGACTTCTTATAGACAGGAGTGCTGTTGTTAAAACTGTGAGCTCAGTAATTGTGATGTTCTGTGCTCAGAAAGCAAGAATTATGCAACTATTGTTCTTGTAGCTGATTATAGAAGTGCATCTTTAGAGACAGGAAAAGACAGAAAACAGGAAATTTAATAAAGTAATGTCGAGAATAGGTATATTTCATTGAAGCTAACTGGAGACACTGCAGAGCAATAAAACTATACCCTCCTTTACTCTACTCCAAAATCAGGGCCATTTTTTGCTATTTACATGAAGACAGTATTAAAATGTGATGTTTTCTTTATTGATTCTCAATAGATTTATGGATGGATGGCAAACTTCCACTCTTATGTCAACTGACCTATGTAGTAAACAGTGCAGCAATATATAGATTGAATCTCATTTCAAATGACCATTGCAGTAGACAACTTGACTATTCACTTCAGTAACATATAGATGATATCTCATGTCAAATGACGTGCAGTAGACAGCATAACCTGTGTCAGCTTATTTGTTTGTTAATGTGTACATTTTTATAACAGTCTTTTTTATGTTTATTTTACTGTCACATGTATATAAAATGTGATAACTTCACTTGTGCTGATATAATGTAGTAAATTTGTTTACTAATCTACACTGATTTTATATAAATTAAAAATGTATTCTTATCAGCACTGTAGCCATAATGATGTTATGTTCCATTGGCATTACAGACAGTAGATATAATTCACTTTTTACAAAGATGTGACTCAAAGAAATAAGAGCCACATAAATGTGCAGTTGTTTAAAGAAGTTTTAAAAAATACATTTACAGTTCACCATTAATTGAACAACTACTCTCAATCCAGCTTCCTTGCTTATTTGCTGATGTTTTTAATAGTTACCCCCCCCCCCCCATAAACCAGATATATGCCAAGAAATTTATGATAAATTCATTCATAAATGAGCTTTACTGACCTTCAACTTGTAATCCCATGGGTTACAGTGTTGGTAAAATGGTCAGAAATTCCAGTATTCATTGATTACTTCATAGGAGATTATTAAAGTTGTTACATGGATTGAGTGTGAGCAAAGACGTAACAGTGAAAGTTGGAAATCAAAGTAGTTACTTGTTGGACCAAGCCTTAAAGAGAAGAAACATGTCATGCAATAGTCGATGTATCAACATAGACCACTCTAGGTGGTAATAATAAGCATGTAAAGCTCAAAATTTCAAATTTCTGTTTAGCAACTGTAAAAGTAATGAAATAATGCAATTTTTGCAAAGCTTTGCTAATGCCATAAATCATCCAAACTCTTGTAATTATGAATTTCTTCCTTTGTTATTTGTCAAAATAATCTATTTATTGATTTTTCTTCTTGACTTCTTTACCTTTTTTGACCCAAGACAACATGAAAAAATTACCATCTTGACCATACACTGACTACTGTTTAACAAGATGACTGTTTTTGATCCACTTTTTAGTACACTAGAAACCATATAAGCAAACTTAAAGTATTTAGAAGATATTTCAACACACTATACAGATAAGATTTAGGAACACTAAACAAATATATGACTTGTCTGAGAGAATCATAAATGCTGAAGTGGATAAATACACTGAAGTAAACTGCTACATACCAAAATCCAAAATTAATTAATGACTCACCTTGAGAATCCTAAATATTCAAGTGGATAAACACACTGAAATAAACTGCCTACATACCAAAATCCACTCTTAATTAATGACTCACCTTGAGAATCCTAAATATTCAGGTGGATAAACACACTGAAATAAACTGCCTACATACCAGAATCCACTCTTAATTAATGACTCACCTTGAGAATCCTAAATATTCAGATGGATAAACACACTGAAATAAACTGCCTACATACCAGAATCCACTCTTAATTAATGACTTACAATCAAGTAAAAGGTTGTCTAATTAGAGATGACATGTTCAACAGGTCCAACTGATTACATGAGGAGTGGGAGAAATTGTGCCAGAAATGGCAGCTTGAATCTTCCCAGTAAGAGCATGTGGAGGGACCGGACTGGGAGTAAGAGGTATAACCTTCATGTAGTCCGCCATTAACAAAGTTATCTCCAAAATCTAAAAGAGAAGTATTGCTTATTTGTTTATTAATACATATATTCAATCCAAGAAACATTAATTAATATACAAATTTGGTTAGCCTCCCTAACCTCTAACAAAGTCTATTATAGATTATCAATAGCAAAAAAAGTTAAGTTTGTAATGTGATTTAAATCATGAAGTTCAAAGTTGTAGTTGATTAAGTAAGAGTTCAAGAATGCTTTTCTGAACTGTAAAAAGCTGCTTCAGCATTCAAGAGAAATATTCAGTGAAATAAAGAATATTATTCAAATGATTACATATACACAATACAAGGTTATGTGTATGTGTGTGTATGTATCTGATTCTTTCTATATAGACTTTTAATATAATATTAGTCTCAACATATTATCCTACACCACCTGTGCTATTAACAAAATTGCCTTAACACTGTAATTAGAAACTTGTTTACCTTATTTTTTAAATGGCTAATATAAGATTTATATCCTTTTTTCCCCCGTTTTTGGATCTTCTTTTTGGTCTCATAAATTATTTAGACCAAGATATACTTATTATTAGCTGTAGAAACTACAAGTCAAATGCTTTTACAACCTCTTTTGCCATAAAATTATATATATGGCAAAAATCTATATTTTAACCTCATACTTCAAAATCCTGAAAGAATAACAAATGTTTAGTAAGATGATCCTTCTCTTTTCAGGGATAAATTCTCCCCTGAAAATAAAAATTAATATTTTGCTTAAAGTACACATTTCTTTGACCAGGATGGTGATTTTCCTTTTTAGTTCAACAGCCTGAAGCAACAACTTAATAAACAAATTCCATAATAATTTTATCTAATCAATGATTTGACTTTTCTCATACCTCAATACACTTGAAGAATAATTTAACATGCTATTAATCACTATTGCTAGTTTCTAGGTATATTTGAAGAATGGCATCAGTTCTATAAACAGACTCCTTGAAGAATATTGGGCCAGACAGATTTCCCAGTTACTTAACGGTCAATTTCCTTTAGAAATAATTCAACAGGTTTCCAGTGTCATAGCTGAAAACATGGGGTACTAACACGCAAGTTAAACAATTAAAGAAAATATACATTTACTACCATAAGAGTTCATAACAGATCCAAATAAATCTCAATACTGTAAGTTAGTTCCTTTCAAATTTATTTCTTTTTAGAATCTCAGGTTAATAGAGTAAAATTTAGTATTATTGTTTTATAATTTAAATGTCATTTGAAATATCCATTTGTGGTTACACAGGAAAAAAGACAGGGGCTTAATGAGTGTGTTTTTAACCTTCCCAACTGATGGTGGTGTAAGCTAATATAAGAAATATATCCTAAAGATTTAAGTAAAATATCAATATCAGACCTTTCTGAAAACTAAAAATGTGAGAAAATGTTACCATACTTTATTATAGACAGCCAAATTAGCTTTTATATTTTATCATATATTTTTCATTATAATTAAATTTTAGTTGTTTTATTTTTGCTACAAGTTATTTTTTAGAAGTTTACGCTTTATTAAAAATGTCCAAACTTATTACCAGTGGGTAAAAATAAAAAACAACCAACCAAACAGCATTACTTCTCTTCAAATACCAGTTAACTGCTTAAAAAACTGCACTAATTCACTACAAGTACCAAACTACTTCTCATATAAAATGCATCAATCTTCCTTCCAAATACCACATGTTACAAAACAGCATTACCTCCCCCAAGTACCACATTCATTATGTAAAATACATTATCACTTTGTTCCTTAAACACATAGAGCTCTTAGTAAAAAACAATCTACTTCTCTCTACATACCATATCAGTGGTGTAGGAAAAAGTTGCAAATCTGGGGTGCTTTGCTAGACATGCAATAAGAGATTGAAAGTATGAGGAGCTGCTAAAAGCAGCTTGTGTGCTGCTAAAGACAGCTCAATCTAGGGGGGGGGGGGGGCTGCTCCCCAAGAAAATTAATATAATAATATAACTTACAGTTGCTGTATAATTCAAATATGTAAAAAACCCTGGTTCCGATGCTTATGCATTTGTAGATTTTAAAAACAACATTAATTTCTTTTACATATTGCACAGAGTTCTTAAAAAAAATTCATTTTTACAATATAAAACAACAACATTTAGAAAATGATGAACTATGGTACAAAACTATTTTTGTTAATCAGCATGCAAAACAGCAAACTGCTAACATATTTTTTTATTACCCGCAGGAATGTTTCTGAGTTTTTCAAGTACAAACTTTTAGCTCATACCTCTGTCATCTCTTGATCGATTTGAGATCTAATTATAGCTTTGGACTCAGGAGGTGAAACCCTTTGGATTATATATTTGACCACACCCATGGTCTCATAGATTAATTTACTTTAATCCTGCCTAAAATAATTTCAACTTGAGGGTAGGCTAATAGAGATCCTGATGAGTAATCAAATCAAATCGTGTATACATGCCTTCCATGCTTGGTACTGCTGGTGCACAAAAATATAGCTAATAAAAAGAAAAAAAAAGGTCTCATAGATTAATTTCCTCTAATCCTGCCTAAAAGAATTTTAAGGGCCATGACTACTGAGGATTCCCTCTTGTTTTTATATATAGCATGAAAGAAAACCATACCTTAGGTTTAGGCATTGAGAATAGAAATCTTTCTGTAGTGGAAGTTTCACTGAAACTGTCAGTACCAAAGTTACTAGTAACAAGCATGAAATCTTCTCGACATCCACCAAATGTTGTCACCACTGAATAAGGATACCGGAGCTTTAGTTTCTGAAAAGGATGAAACACAAAGTGAGCAATATTCTGACATGCTACCAGCTTGTAGACAACATATAATTGGGTATGATGAAACATTTGTTATAATGCAATAATGGAGCAATAACAAAAAAACTAATGTGAAAGTTGGTGTCAATATTGTATAATTTTTATATAATGAAAAACATGTGTAATTTTTCATAATACTAGAAAACTATCCTTATAAATCTTGACATCTAAAACTTGTGATATTAAAATGAGGTAACAATGAGATATTTAATTTTTCTCATTCATTATTATTAAAATGCTTCACTTTTATTCCTGGGGGATAACTAGTTAATAATAAAAGTTTTAAGCTATATAAAACATTTGCTTACAAATATATTCCTAGAATAATATGCAAATAAACAAAGAATATATGTTAAAACCTAATGTTTTTATTTTCTTCTTGAGAATAATGTTAAACACGAGTTATCCAAATATTTTATTCATTTTCTTAAATATATTTCTGAAAATATCTTCAGACTTTCAATACAGGAGGTAAAAATTTTTATTGTATTGAAAGGTCATGGTTCTTCACTGGACGTTTTGGAATGGGGTTTGATAATAACCTACATAATCAACTTTGAACTTCCCTATAAGTACAGGTCTAGAGTGGCAAATTTTGAAGACGGCAATTTTTCAAAATAATAATAATGAAAGTAATAAATATCAAACATAAAAAAGTCTGTACACATTTTTAATTTTTTCAATTACACCCTATAACATATATGAGAATATGGTAACAAAGTCAACAATGTGTCACTATTACTCATATTAATTGTGGCGGGACTGCGTGAGTTTGCTTCTGGACTGGTGCAAGTTTAGTACTTATGGGTGGCAAAATGATAAATCCGCCTCTCAGTACAATACATGTATGTCAATCATGTTTTGCAAGTGTACAAAGTTTGGTTAATAGGTAACTCATTGTATCAGAAAATGATTTTCCTGAAAGGCACAAATAATGTTACCCTATTTAAAATTCTTACTATAATAGAATGTGATAACATGTTATAAAACTGTAGTTTCTTTTTCTTTGAAGTAACAAGTGATAATAGTGCTCGACTTAACTAAGGTGAAACAACACAAGGTAAGTGTGATGCTACTGCCTGAACTGAAATGTCATAAAGTAAAATACAGTACTGTGCAAAAGTGTTAGGACAAGAGAATACTTTGTCATTCTTTCCACTTTATGGGGCTAATTCTTCCATGCCATTACAGAATGTAAATTTCAACACTATGGTAATGCTTCACTGATTCCTGTTGACAATTGAATGAGCCAGGGTGAGAATATATATCATTCTTCAGAATTCTCATATCCTTGTACCAAGGGCATGTCATAAGGGTTCTGCTTGAATGAACATACTGATCAAATTTAGGGTCTGAAATCACTATCATAGTAGTACCCCATGGAGTGTCTTAACTATATAGAAAGAATGGTACTGGTATATGCTACTACTATACTACTACTAATGGTACTTTATGATGCTGGTATATGTTAGAAGAAATTAATTCAATAGCACTCCACAAATAAACCTTGATAAAAAACAGTGTTTAACACTATTTGTTAAGTTTTGTTGTCATGCCATGACCCAAAAAGTGTAGAGAACTGTCAGTAGAGCAGAGAGTTCACATAAAAGCTTTTTTTTGAGAGAATGATGCCATAAGTAAAATGATTTCTTGGCAAATTACAAATTAACATTTCAAGCTCTATGCATGCATTTTTATTAAAATTTAAAAGGCAATAATGCATCATCAATTGAATACTGTGCTTTTCTGTTACTTAAAATTAAAAAATTGGAAAATAAATATCATGCAGTTGATGTAATTTAATAACTGCAGAAAAAAATAGCAATTAATTATTATCATGTTTTGATAGAAACTCCACTATTGCTGAAATTACTGCTGATCAACAAGTGGTAAAAAATGTAATAGTCCAACATCACTGGAGATACAATCAATCAAAGACTAGAACAAAATTTTACTGTAGCTTTTTCTGAATAAGTTAAAATATCATATCAACTTTAGAACTGTTTAGTATATAAATTGCAATACAACATATTTCATGCATCATGATCCTGAACATTACTGGTGTTTATAACTAATAATGAACTTGGAATGTGATGTTTTTCACATATCTAACGCAATACCACTAGGTGATGATCAATGAACTGTGTTAAAAAACCTTTCATGCAACATAACAAAACACTGTGTAATTACCAATAACCCAATACCACCAAATGTGACACTTCAAAGAGTATGATAACGTTATATGAATATTGATAGTGATCAGCGACTCAGATTATATATGATAACAAAGTAAATTTATGGTAGTCAGTAAATAATAACACTGGACTTGAAAGGGGAATACTAATCTTTAATAAACACAGCAAAATATAACAATAGTCAAACACACAAATGCAAGGTAAGATAGTGTGAATTCTAAACTTCGTGCAACAAATGCTAAAATAAAGTTACTATATCACAGTACTGATGTATGTCTTAGGTTGGTTTTCCAATTACTTTCTGCAGCAATTTCACTGAATCAACTTTGAGTCTTCTTAACCTCATTTAAATAAAAAAAAACATAAAAAAGATCTGTAAGCTACTCTATTGGAGTTACTTAGATCAGTAAAATAACAGAGGAATGGTTCTTCAGACTATATATATATAACTTCTGTTAATATAAAAAGTGTGGAGGCTAACATTTACCATGGATGTGAAGTCTAACACTGCTACACCATCTTCTCCTACTGCTAACCACACAGCTTTTGGTTCACCAATCTTTAACTGTGAAAATCAAAGTATTCAACTGTAGTATTTCTACAATATTACATAAAAAGCACAACCATAGATGTATTATGGCCAATAATTTAAACAGTAAGCAAACTTGATAATTAGTACAACACTCAAGTGACTCAATACAAATTATAGTTATTTTTATTACATTCATGGCTTTCATACATAATATACCAACATAATATACTAATTATTAATTAGTAGCAATTTCTATTTAGTTATATTAAGATAATAATTACTATCTAGTTTCATCCTAAGTTTCAGCTGCTAATCTGCTGCCACCTTCATGGAAATCCTGAAAAGGAGTATTTTTATGTTAACAGTGGATAAGATCTAATCCTGGGTCTTCTTGATGGAAGTCTGTTTTGTTATCCACTCAACAGGGGTCCTTCCATCAGGCTTTCATCAAGAAGACCCAGGATCTAATCCCAGTCACTACCAACACAGAAATGGTCTTTCTCAAGATTTTGTTGAAGATAGTAGTAGATTAGAAGCACAAATGTAGGATATAACAAGTTAGTAATTAACACATAGTCATAAAAGATTAGTTTGTAATTAATAATCAAATTTAGGTGGTTGTACAGGCAACTAACTATGACAATCATAAGTACTTAAAAATTGCTTGCTTGAAGTTTTTCAATAACATAGAAAAAGCTCACTTTTCCTGACATTAGAAAAACTTATTTAATTCTTTCCATAGAAGATCAGTGGATAACACCAACCTCGAAACTCCAAAGTAAACATTAGTTTCTAAACTATAACTTTTAATATAGTAAGTGTATCTTCACAACATTTGGAAAGCTTTCAGTGAACATTACAAGTCTTTTATAAACAAAAAAAAAAATCAGAATTTTTAATGAAAATAATTTTTACTAAATACATGTCCATGAATATATGGAGTCAAAGTGTTGACTGCTCTGATGCAAAGTGAATTTCATGTCAAGATTAAAAATACTTTACCTAAACATTTTGAAATTTCATCTCTGTTACCTCTAAAATCTGCTAAATAAATATCAAACGATTTTTTTTTCTGGTAAACTTTATATTTTATCTGTTATTTTCTCCACCCTAATGCTATAAAGCTGCAATAAAAAAAAGTAACAGAAAACTATATTTGTTTACCCTAATAGCTTAGGGTCTGTAACAATATACAATTGTTTATACTATATTTTAGTTTCATTGTCCTTTGAACTGAGTCTAACTAATAATCCTGCCATACAAGTCGCAAGCCACTCAACTAACATGTAGCTTACATTACCATACTGAATAATGTAATGCACAAGCTGCTTGCAAGGATACCTTGTGAAGAATTTTTATTATTATTAGCCATTACCTTACCTAATCTAACCTTTTTTAACCTAATAAGTTTATAATTTTTACATTTTATTTACTTTTATAATAATAATAAATAAAGAATATATATGAAAAACAAGAAATATAGTGCTTACCTTTAACCTCTTGTTTTTGGTGTCAGTTGGTGATGAAATTTAAGCCTACATTTCTTACACTGATATTACTATATCACAAAATAATTTTTATTTACTTAAATAATGCACCAAATAAAACAGAATAATAACATACAGAAAGCAAACAATATCCTATAATTACTATAATGTAACTGGCTTTCTAACTATTACATACGAGCCTTAGATTAATTATTTAAGCTTCTCAGTCTGAACACTTCAGGAGAAACTTTGAAACTGAGAGGGTGGTAAATGAACTGGAGAAAAGAAAAGACCTAGAAAACAAATATCACAATTCTCATACCAGGAGAGATAGAGGATTTTGTTCAAATACTCTCTTAAGAAATTAAGAATTTTAAACTTAAACAATATTAAAAATTGTTTTGATGTCAAGTATACATTGTATACATTAATAATAAAGTAGCTTAATTAAATTTTGAATGTAACCCTGTCAAATATTGTGACATGTGCACTTTAACCTACCCATAACAAGATAAATACTCTGTGATTTAACAATACCAGAATATTAAAAAAAAGCTTAACTCATTGAAACTAAACACTAACTGAGCAATAAAACAGTAATAAATAATTAGCAACTTGTTTTATTAAAACTCTTTCCACATATTTCAGCCCCAAAATTATCCTTTTTTATTCAGTCTTAAAAATAAAAAGTATTAAATGCAGCCAAGTTATATAATTCTTGACCTAAAATTATATTATATAATTATATCTGAGCTTACAAACCTTACCTTAGCTAAGTCCTCTCATCAACTAATTTTGTCATGTACAGTACCTCTAACTTAGCCAAAAATAATATTAGTTCCCTAACTATCCAATTAAAAAATTGACCATACTGTTATTCCAGAAATGAAATGTTACATATTCATTTGTTGTTGCTGTTGTTTTACTGCAAAGCTAAACGATGGGCTATATGTACTCTGTCCATCACAAAGAATTTAGTGTTGTAAATCCATAAACTTATGGCTTGCAAACCAGGGAACTACATGTTAAACATATAATTATACTATGCATTAAAAACGTACTGTCAAGGAAAAAGTTAATAAACTAGAAGAAATATTCACATGCCAAGCAGCTTGGTTTAGCATAGCATATCTGGCAATCATTTTAGATGATAAACATTTTTGCCAGCTACACAGTTAAAAGTAATTTTTAACTCAACATTGGAGTTTTGGAGCACACTAATGAGCTGAGAAATAGTCATCATGTTATACTCAGGTCAAACAATAAAAGACAGATTAATAAGTATTAAGTAAGTTATATCATGAAAGAGAAACCAAAATAACTTAAATATTAATTGCTGAGATGTCAACAGGCCAAACAGAAAGCAGACTAAACATTCCAATGATCAAGGATGTTATCCTTTATCCAATCTTATTTACAGTATCCATTACAAGTTTTTCTGAAGATTTTCACTTATTGAATCTGGATCAGTAGAGCCAGTTTAATCCAGATTCATCATGTGATGATAAATAATCACTGCTAAACCAAGCTAGTTGATTAGAATCTGAGTTTGTATTTCCAAGCTAGAAAGAACTAGATCCAGAACCTAAAGCCTGCATCTGTCAACCAACAACACCCTTCATTACCATAAATCATGGTTCAGTTCTACCATATATACCTTATATTTATGTTGGTAAGGTATAGTAACTAGGACTTAAATTACCAGAGTTTGTAATGATATCAAGTGGAATAACAGCATTACTTTGTTTAAAGTATTATCTTAATATGAAATAGTAAGTTAAATTTCAGACCTTATCTTTTTGAATTCTTACATTTACTTGAATTGATATTTTTCTTGTAATCATCATTAAGAGAAGTAAATAACATGTATTATGCTTTGTTCTGTGAATTTTGTTTGACTCTATCATCGTATTTCTCATGTATCCTTCCTCAAGTTGGTAACTTGTGCAAAATTATCAACTGTATTTTCCTAGTACTTTAAATAAATACTATTTGTAAATGGTTGTTACTCAGCAATAAAGCAGCTTGTTACAATAACATTTTCTTATCCTATAAAACAGTGTTTCTCAAAGTGTGGTGTGCAGCCCACTGGTGGTCTGTGAGGGAGTGCCATTTTTCCCATTAATTTTGATGAGTGTTTTTGTTGTTGCAAGAGAAAGCAAGTGGGGGTCGGAGCAGCAGGTGGTCCTTGGATGAAGACTGCCATAAAACAGTTAGACTTTGTGAAAAGTAAGTTACATTGTAAAAACAAAAGAAAAACAGGAATTTTTAGTATATTATCCAAAAAGAGTGTGAAGCATGCTCTCTTAAAAAAAAAAAATTTGAAATAAGATTTCTAAAGAGCAAGTTTCTGCAACCCTGAACTTTCTTCAATCAACAGTATCAAAAAAGATCACTTGAACAGCAAGGTTATGAAATTCTCCTATACCAGATGAGAGTATTAAAACAAAACAACTTTTTATGTTATTCCTAATCAGTTTTGTTAAGTTCACAGTATCTTACTTACAAATATAATATTTTATTTTGAATAAAACCATGCAGTTGCTTTACTTAGCAGAGAAAACACATTTCTTGCGGAACAATTAAATTCGGCAGAAACTATTATTTGTTTAAATGAGCACATCTATCCAAGATACTGTTACTTAATTTTACTCTTTCAGAGAGCATTAACATGATAAAAGAAGATTATAATAGTTAAGTATGAACTTCTGGAGAATGAGAAGCACTGAAAAAGTTTGTAACTGTTCAGCACATTTCTAGGTTTATGTCAGTGGCTTTAAAACTATTCTCAGGAAACAATGTTGACTAGTTTATAATAATATAGTATTGCTCTTGTATTCATATTGTTTAAAAAATGAGCAGCATTTTACTGTTCTATGAAATTCCTTCTTATTACACGAACTTTATAGAAATTTAAGTTAACTACACTGAATTGATATAAAGTTAAAACACAACACTAAATTCAATACAAAGGAAGTACTCCAAAATACTCCAAAGTTTAATTCAAAACAAAAATATTATGCAGCCATCCAAAAAAAAAAAACAGTTATATTTAATTTATATTCACATTAGCTGAAACTTTTAGTCCAATTTAAGTTTTAGACAAACTGATTTATTGCTGTTTTCTCACTGATATTCATGGACAAACTTTAACAATAAATTTTCACATTTTTTTTTCTTCAAGAATACATATGTACTAATCTCAATAAGAAAAACTGCCTGTTCATACTTCTACAATTATCTTATTTTTCTAAAAAAAATTGTGGGGAGAGTTTTATAATTACTTTAATCATATAGAGCATTATTTACTTTCAAAACTTTCAACTACTTGAACTTTTGTATAATAATTTATATTTGTAAAATTTTATTGTAAAAAGGCAGCTTAATAAATTGCAATATATACAGTAAATTTTTCATATTAATTTTGCAAACTGTTGCATTTAACTCAAAAGTTAAACTTAATCTCATTAATATTGGGTAGGTTCTTATTAAGATGACTTGGAATAATAATTACTGGTAGAAAATAAAAGTTATAATTTTCCTACA